CCCCCCCCCAAGCTCTTACGAAAGCTCCTCTCACTCTCTCCCCAAGAGATTTTCCATCACGTGGTTTCAAAGAGCTGGGCTCCACTAGAGGGGGAGGAGGGAGAACAGGACCCATTAACTCCTTCCTACCTGTGAAGGGGAAGCCCAGAGACCTTCTTGAGCAGGAGGGGAATCAATCGTTTCCCAGGGAGCATCCTGGGCACTGGCGGATAGTGGCTGGACACTTCCTTGGGAAGCAGATCGGAGCAGAAATTTATAATTACCATGCAACGGAAGTCACCAGCTATTTCTTGCAGGGTATGGGGTAAGGATCAAAAGGAATTAAAGCTGGACACTGCTAGCCGAGGCATAATAGCTCTCTGCCACATCTTACTCTTGGAATGACTCCCAAGATATATAGAGGAATGTATGGGTTTGGCCAGATGCAGGAGTTGCATGAGTCCAGAGAAGGGGTGAATGAATACCTGGCTGCTTCTGTGAGTGTCTCCTGAATCAGATTTTTAACTCTGGGGAATAGATAGCAGAAGAGCCGTAACAACATGAAATTCACCGTAGGCAGCAATACCATCCTAGGCCTCCACCATTAGTTGCTCTGTGGCCAGCAAACCCATTCCTGAGGCTCTACCTATGCTGGCTTGTCTACTAAGCATCAGTGCAGCCTTTACTGCAGTGTGTGCAGTGACACATGGACCACGTCTGACCCTTGTTGCAGTCCCTGAGGTGAGCAGAAGCAGGGAGAGGCATTTCAAGACAGCCTGATGCAACAGCTACCTGCTTTTGAAATACTGTTCACCAGGGGGAGACACCCCAAGTGGCTGCAGCTCCAGCTGCCAAGAGACCTTTGTGGAAGCAGGACAGAGCCACAGTGAACATAGCCTCTGGCTGGTGTGACTGCTTCACTGCAAAGGCCCCTAACTGCAGAGCCCAATGCACAACTCCAGCTGGAGACAGGGATGTCCCAGAACTGGAGGGGCCTGTCTGAGCCAGACCCAGCCTTGCCTGGAAGAGAAGAGCCCACATCTGCTCCCTGCCATTGAGCTGGGAAGGACTGAAGGGAATGGGACAGGAGCACGAGGACCGTGGTGACCCCTGGGCAGAGATGGGTCCAGACCCAGTAGAACCTCCAGGAGTGGGATGGTTCAGAGCAATTCCAGTGCCTAGAACATCTCATGGCTCTCATCTTGCTACAGTTTGTTTCTGTGCTTCTCTAATTGCTGGCTCAGCAGCACCCCTAGCACCCTCTGACATGGTCCAAAGAGACTGTGGAGCTTGAAACAGGCATGAGGAAATGAAGGATCTTCACAGAGACAACCTGGGACATATCTGGGGTTCCTGTAGGGCCAGAGCCCTGGGGTAGGAGGAGAGGATAGGATTGTCCCATCTCTCAGCCTGCTTCTGTTGACCATCCCTTGCACCCACATCCCACAGTAGGAGGGAAATCCCACCAGGCAGGCATGCACACCACAGAGATGTTTGTAGGTGAGACGGGGCTTGGCAGTAGCTGTGCCATCTGCACCAAGCTTGTGTCACTCTGCTCCCTGGGGCAGCCTTGAAGCAGGGCAGAGAATGCCTCAGTCAGATGGGGACACTCCCTGCCTTGTGGTGAGAGGACAGCTGGAGCTGCTGGCTGGGTCCATGCAGTGTGGATGGGAACATTCACATGGATCAGCAACAGTGAATGATACCAGGAGCAGAACATGGGCTCCAGGTGGCTACCGGTCTCCACCCCCATGGCCAGGCTGATCGCTACAGTGTGATGTGTTCAGAGTGTAGGAATTACCCTTTGATTAAAAAGGTGACTGAGTTTCAGAGAGAGGGATTATTGC